GAATGCTCCTAGTCGTCGCACCACTAACTTTCATAAAGAAACATCTCGGACTGGAGGAGGCGCTCCAGATGCAAAATCTCGAAGGGAGAAAAACCCCCTCTCTTGGCCTCATGCTCCCTGCGTATGCTTCGACTTGGTGTAAAATTTGTCAAAATAATGAAGAAATATAAGGAAACGGGATAGGGACGACCGCGAAGGGAACATCCGCTCGTCGGGCGTCCTCGCTTGGCAACACGGCCTACGACGATAAGGATTTTATAGCTTTCCACCCCTCGAGTCGTTCGAGACCACGTGCACTTGCGCAGTCCCTGGATCGCGCGAAGTCAGATTTTCACAACGGGGTTTTTTTTCTCTCTGCTCCTAATTTTTCGTGGTTAAATTATAATAATTGGATGTCGCACAATACTGGACAACTACACTTTAAACAGCAAATTTCGGCAAGTCGAAAATCATTCATCAACGACTACCGCGACTGAGTAGCTCGGGGGAGCGGACCTAGATTCTCGCGCGACGAACGCCCCCGCCGCGCCGCTCCCCTTAAAAAAGGACGTACAACAGTCTCCACGTGAGCCCTGCGCTTTGTATAAGGCTATGCTGAAGCGGGCTCATGTGGAAGTTGAGTTAAGCCACGTTGTCAGATTTCACATAGGAAGTGCAATTAGAAAAGTGAGGAATATAAAATTTTAAACTCACCAGTCTGAGGGTTTGTTAATCCCTAGGCTTCCGGATTGTCCCCAATTTCTCTGCAAGGTCCATGAACGTATCCATTTGAAATCGCATATCTCCGTAATGATGTGCGTTGCGTTGTTTCTTAACAAAAATGTCGCCCTCCTTTATCCGGGCTACGAACCGGCTGGGAAACCCAGGCGGAGTTTCATTTTTTTTTTTTTTTTTTTTTTTTTTTTTCAGTTTTTTCATTTTTTTTTATTTTTTTTTTCAGTTTTTTCATTTTTTTCCATTTTTGTAATTTATCTTTTTTAATTTTTTTCTTTTACATTTGTCGATTTTTTTGGTGTTTTCCTTCTTTTTATTCTTCTTTCTTTGCGTTTTTCTTTTCTTCCTTTTCTGTTTCCTCTTCTTTTCCATCATTTCTTTCTTTCTTTCCAATCATTTACATACAGATGCATACAGATTTTATACAGATATAAGGCAAAACAAATTACAAAGCAATTTATATACATAACTTATATACATACATGTATATGTACACGGAAATACATATCATCATTTCTCTCTTTTTTTCCAATTATTTACACACAGATATATACAGATTTTAAACAGATATAGGACAAAACAAAGTACAAAGCAATTTATATACACGACTTATATACATACATGTACATGAAACTATGAACTATGTACATATGTACATGAAAATACATTTTCTCTCATTTCTCTCTTTTTTCCAATTATTTACACACAGATATATACAGATTTTAAACAGATATAAGACAAAGCAAAATACAAAGCGATACGTACATAACTTAATATACATACATGTATATGTACATGAAAATACATATCTGCCTATCGGTTCTGCTGAGCTTCGGCTCGAATCTTAAAAAGTTGGCCGCGGATGGAGGCGAGGGACCTACCCTGCGGACACATGCCGAGGCCTATCCGGGTCAGAATCTCGGCCCGAGTGGGTATCCGGTTCTCAACCAGGAACTCGTGGAAGACTTCCTTCAGCTGATCCGTTTCTGACTGAGTCCACCTCCGGAACTGGGTAGGGGCATCGACTTCCTCGTCGTCCTCAACCTTCACGCCTGAGGGATGACCCGGCACGGACCCCGTGGGCGACGGACACTGCGGAGCTGTTCTTCTGCCGGACGTCTCGGGCTCGTCCTCCACGCAGTACGAGACCCGGAAAGTCCGGCCACCGCCGACGCTTTCCACCTCGGTGACGGCGCGCCTCCTCCGCGCGGGGCTCGGAGCTTTTTGGATGGAGGCGAGGATGGTCTCTGCCGCCGCGTAAGCCCCGAACTGCGCTATGCCTCGAGCGAGTCCGGCCGGGATCCCTGTCTGTGTCGGTGGAGCTTCTGCGCTGCCCTTACTTCCTTCCTCCGGCCTTCGGGTCGCCGGCTTCGCCACTGGATCGTCTCGAGGATCACGGTGCACGTCGGCGAAAGCTCGAGGAGCCGCGGTCGGATCCGCCGACTTGTAATAACGTGCACTCGTGGCCTCGGAGTGATCCAGATGGACGTTGAGAGCCTCAGCGTCCCGGCGATCTGGCAGCTCTGATGCCATAGTTGCGAGGCGAGTTCTTATGGTCCTCGTAGTTAGCAGCTCGGGACGCTGAAGCCGGCGATCCTTAGCGAGGCGTTCTTTGAGGCGCCTTATGATGTGCACCACATCGTACGGGTGCGTGGAGCCTGGACGGGGGAAGAGCAGGTCGTTGATGCGACTCGGGCCCGCCTCCTCGGCACCCTGCTGCTGCTGCTGCTGCTGCTGTTTCTTTCCCTTCTCCTGCGACCTCTTTCCGCCGGTGCCACCGGTCGGAGGTGGGATCATGAGGGCGTCTCTGGTCGCGTTCAGTCGGTCGATACCAGGGAGGAGCGAGCGGGGGACGATGATGGCCACGGGCCGCTTGTTTTTCCCGCCGGGAACAAGGAAGAACTCGGGCCGTCCGCTTTGATCCTCCAGAAGGGCATCACGGACTCCGACCGCTCGGTCCAAGATGGGGACGACCCGGAGCTCCTTCTGGAGGGCTTCTCCGGTCGGGCGGTTGCGGTAGCAGTTGAATGGTGCTCCCGAGACCTCGGAGGCTCGGCGTCCGTTATAAATGACGAGGGCTGCCAGCAGTGCCTCGCTGAGCTGCACGAAGTTCTTCTCGGTGACCTGGAACTCCAAAAGAGCCGTGCTCCGCGCGACCATCGAGGTGGCCTCCCGAAATAAGGCGTGAATGTCGGCGGAGACGGGGATCTGGGGAGGGTTGGAGCAACGCCGCTGCAGCGTTGTGGCCTGCGCGTGTTTTCCGATGTCCACAGGCCAGGCACTGCTGAGAAGGTCGTCGAAGCGGCGGCACTGCTCCATCAAGTCTCGCTTGCTCTCCTCCGGGAGCACACTGGACGTGG